GAAAACAAATCCGGAATGTTCCCTACATTATTTGTTCCAATATTCTGTTCATTGTCCGGACAAAATTTCCCTCATTTCACACGACATGGTGTCAAAGACTTTATTTGTCACATCGTGTACAGAAAATAAAACGTAAAACTCCAGTATATCTCAGCTGTTAAAACAAGGCGAATATTTTAGAACACGTAGTATCAAACGAGGCCACGCCCACAACATCTTAATCGACTTCCCGGGTGCAGAAAAGTAAGAACTAAAACTTTATTTTGCTACATATCAGCATTATTTACAGTTTATATCGAGTGTTGTACGTATGGAATCGAACAACCAGCCCCCCTCTCCCCCCTCCGCCCTCCGCCCCCCCCCCCCCCCCCCCGCCCACCCCCAAACAGACACACACATCTAGAGTTGTACTGCGTTATAAAAACTCAAATTACCTTCGTCTAAACCGCTATTATTAGTCATTCTCGCCCTCTTATCTACTCGTATACTAACACGACTGAATCCGTGTAAGAACGCTACTTTCAATTTTCTTCTATTTATTTTCTATATCAACCAATCACATGGCTAGATATAAATAGACTGAGGATTGACCAATTACTAGAGTTTGACGTAGGTTTGTTGTTCTCGGGAAGCATTGACCCGATCAATAAAACATAGGCCTATTTAACAGACAATGGCTATAAATCGGCGACTAATACGCCAAAATATCACATAATCCGTATACTTAACACATTAACATAATAGGATTATGGCTTGATTAGCCCTTTTGAATAATATTTTGATTTGGTCTATTCATTTCGCCTTATCTATTAATAGGCTTACTTCAAACAATAAACCAGCCTTCGAGCAGTTACTTATACAGGACAATTAAAACAAGGTGCAGCGCGTCCTTGATAAATACTTTCTCGGAAAAGGGCAAGACACTTATATTATATATTATATTTGTTTTATTTCTTGTACTTCTATTGTTGACGGGCTAGAAGTCAGATTTTCTTTTACGAACGGTGATACAGGTAATAAAAATTCTGATGTTAACGTAAATTTCTAGATGAATATATCTCTTTAAAGGTGACATGAAAAACCACGGATAGGGGGAATGAATGGAAAAAGGGTAGGGGGAGAGATGGGTGTGGTGAGTGGAGTGAAGGGTCCCAAAACCCACATCGGCCTACCCATCAACACTCATGTACAATGTCAGGTCGCAATTTCTAATCTTCAGAGCTCCACGTAACATTAAAATAACAGAAACGATAATTTCTAAGAAGTCTTTAATATTGTCAAAAACGATGATTCCATTGCCATTTATTACGTCATCAACATGGCGACGTCACGTGATCGGATGTCGTCTGTTTATTTCTTCCAATCGTACCAGCAAGTACCATAGAGGTACCCGTCACACACCATGTCGTCACAGCACCTCGGGGACCAGAAAAGTGACCTACAGTTTTCACCGAAACCCTTACAGCTACCTTTGGACTCACCCACGGCTGGTTCGTCACCCCGTTTCTTTAAAAGATCTGAGAGACGCTTTTCGCCGTAAGGTGTTCCTGAAAAAAAAATCAGTTCATGATGTGTTGAAAGTTTGTAAAGCTTCTTTCATATTTGTGAAAAATTGTTTTCACAGAAACATACGATTTGCTTCCCTTGATACGAAAGGCTAATTTTGAGTTTTACCTGTTTAGCTACAAAGCTGTTATGATGAGGATTGTGTATCCGAAAATCGTGTCTGTAGCCTAAGAATAGATAAATTCAAAGACAGAGATCGCGCATTCAAAAAAAAAAAACGAAATACTGCAAGTTCCACCATTAAAAAATATTTGTGGTTCTTGATAAAAATAAAGGTTGTCTTTGCTCCTTAAAGATGCGACGGTGTGTCACTTTTGTTCCCCTTTTGGTACAACCAGAACAGTGCGTCCAACATCCCCATGCCATATATTTTTAGTGGATAAAAAGTTAAAAAAAGAGGTATAACAGTGAAGTCGCGCCTAAGATGCGGTATATAAAAGCAATTGCTTACCTAAAGCCAGCAGACATAATGAACATACGACGAGAATTAACAGATATTTAGACATGATGTAGTCTGTAGTCTATTAATTTCAGGGTATCGTGGTTTAGAAGATCTTGTAGCTTGTTGTCCTTCGATCTCCTAAATTGTGTAACCACTTCGTTGTCCGTATTCACCAAGTTTCTGTAACGTCAAACCTCAAAGGAATTCTTCGTTGTACCCTGTTGTTGCTTCGTTGTTGTAGTCTTAACGCCCGTGTGCTTCCTTGAGTAACGGTCTAATAAAGGGAATTCAGTTCTCCCACAATATTTATGAGGACCGTTGAAGCTAATTGATTCAATAATAACAGTCAGTGATATTTAACATGATACGATAGAGTTATAATCAAAGAACTGGTCCATTATCCCGTATAAATACTATAACCCTTATCCTTTATATTCTAAAACGTTAAAGGTCCGTTCACTTGATGCCATTTCGGTATGACCTTATTGTTATTCTTCCAAGACGATGAAATGGCGCTAGTTAAAGCAACTCGACATGAAACTTTACTTTTGGCGATAGTGCATGGGTTGATGCAATCGGGAGCGTGTTGATTTTATACCCTCCCCTTTACACAAACGCATAACAAGTTTTGTCAAACCTGCTTTTGCTTGTATTCTTCCTGCTTGGTGCTCGGATACGTATATAGCAATGGTAGCAAGAAAGGCTGGCTAAAATGCCGTGTCCAACTAGAAAGCAGAAATCGGCACAGTGTCCAGCATGTAACCAACGCTTGGATGATTTGGCCTGAGGTGAACCTATGCCCTCACTTTTTTCATAATTTCGGCCCGTGTAACGGTAGCTTTAAATTATGACTTATGATATTTGCTGCTATCAACCTAGTTCTATTGGAAATGAAAGTTTAGAGATAGCCGTAGATTTTATCAGGCTATCAGCACAATTACCACGTTTTGGTTTCAAGATAGCGGTGAACCACATACCGTTATAACTGTTGTTATTAAAACGTGTAACGGCGTTTGCACTTCCCTACCCTTTTGATTTTAGGTCAGTGAGGTAGCTCCTTGGGTACTTCGATTGTCGTATGGAGAAGATTACATCCGGTGATGGAGTTAAGATTGGCTCATTCTTAGCTTGTCAGATGAATAGGCAGATGAATAGGGGTTGTTGCTTACGCCAATGATCCTGGCTTCTGTGATGCCTGCAATTTCTCCAGAAAACGATACCGGAATTACCATTTATGTCATAGCTCAGTTCTACCAATGGATCACGGGGCTTCGCTAGGTAAGTTAATGTCGCCATAAAACATAAAATGATATTTTATTCCATAAAATGATTAAAAGGGTTAAAAGGATAAATATAATAACATGAATACATAATGAATTTTGAGGCACAATAGTCGTTGATGCTTTTTTTTCTATACACCGATAAGATAATATCTTGGCGAGACCAACACACTAGGCACAGTTCTTTCAGCAGACACCCGGCAATAACTTGTTTCAGCCACTCACCGCCGTGCAAGCACCTGTTTTAGCGGCAAATCGTCCTACAATCGTTTGCTTTAGTCGTTAGTCGTACAATCGTTTCATATCGTCCATATTCTGTGGTAATTCCTTTCCGCTAGTCTCTGGCAAGAAAACAAATAAAATAGTAGATAGTAAACAAAATGCTGCAAAGATAGCACCAGGCAGCCACGGCACAATTGAAGCCTGAAATCAAAGACAAACAGGAATTGAGTAAGTAACAACTTAGTGTTTCGAGGATGTGACAATTGTTTGCGAAGGAACGGAATTCCGCGAGATCCGACCAGCTGTTCCTCGTCAAATCTCTATTAGATAAAGATAGAATCTCTATCAAAACTAAGAATCTCAAGGATCCTGCCTTCACGCTAATCTATCGATAAACCTCACGGTAACGATGGCAGAATAATAAAAAAAAAATAATAATTTTATGCTTACCAGTAGATTTGCAAATGGCGACAACATTCCACCGATTCTGGCAGCAGATGAGCAGGTGCCAAACGACACATTCCTGTAATTGATACAGACTGACTGATGCTATGATTTGAGTGATTGCAAAAGAACTGCACACACCCCAACCCACCCCCTAAAAAAAAGTCACTGTTTCTATCTAGAACTGTGATGGTGTGTTATATTACTATGTAGCTATATATACATCAGGTAATAATATAAGGCTAAAAGTGAGGTAATTTAATTATCATTCTAAGCTACCACGAAAAATGTTTATTAACTCAACATATTAACTAAGTTATCTGTATAGTGTTATATTTCACCTGAAGATACTCAGAGTATGCTACTTACAAATCATAATAGATGCTAAAACGATTTGGTTAACCGACACCTTGTCTGAACCGGAATTTGCCCAAGGTGCATATAATTTGGAAAAATCTTGGTGCCGATGGGGGATGTTGCATTGCATAAATATTCCATTTTGCATTTTGCACATCCTTGGCGGTCCCTCGATTTCCTACCTCACGAGTGTGAAATTTTGCTCACAAGCCCCTATCCATTAGCATCCAGAAAACAAGTCTGGAACTCTGCTAGCATATCACCAATCCTTACCATCCTTGGAACCGAAATGTGAAATTTATGGTGCATGTCCATCCTGCCCCATAAACCCCCCCCCCACCTCCACCCATCATCTACTATAATCCTATGGATCCGACAAACTTGTAAGCAAACGCCCACGGGAATGCTTAAAATTGGGGCTTGCTGAAGTTGGATACGCAAAGAAGGATCAGACCTATGATGATATGAAAGACGTACCTGATGTTGGTAGGAAAGATCTCGGGTGTGTAAAAATAGATAACGTTAAACGATCCAGAAATCCCGAGTTTCCCGATCAGAGCAAATACTGTAGCTGCTATATTCGACCACTCTTCTCCTGAAAGTGATAGAACAGTTACAGAAATGGTTAAACCCTAACATTATGAAGATGTAGAAGACGTTGTTAGTAATAGTTTGACATTGTGAAGATGTAGAAGACGTTGTTAGTAATTGTTTGACATTGTGAAGATGTATAAGACGTTGTTAGTAATAGTTTGACATTGTGAAGATCGTAATAGCTTGACAAGTTGAAGATCGCAATAGCTTGACATTGTGAAGATCGTAATAGCTTGACATTGTGAAGATCGTAATAGCTTGACATTGTGAAGATAGTAATAGCGATCGTAATTGTGACATTGTGAAGATGTCTATTTACATACCGTGTAGTTTGAGTCCAGGAGCAACTATCAATCCAAATGTTGCTACGATATGAAACAAAATAGCCGTTTTCTTTCTTCCAATTCTGAAATGACAAAGGGTCAATTTTTACATATTAGCTTCTTTTCATGACATTGGGCTGCTCATGGATACAGAAAAACGTATGTAAAAGATCATTATCGAAGGACAGAATGTCCGGTTAATTACTCACCGTAACGGAAGTTGTTACCCTTACAATATCATTCCCGAGAAGTTTGACCAAGGACCAACTAGTTTCGAGAACCCTTACATGTATCGTAGTGAAATCAAGGACCAGCTGATAGATGGGATCCCTGTGAACTGCAGTCGTTATCATTACCAAGAGGTTTGACCAAGGACCAGCTGGTTTCGAGAAACTTAACTTGTATCGTTGTAAAACCAAGGCCAGCTGGTAGATGGGATCCATGAGAACTACATTTGTTATCATTTCCAAGAGGGATTTGACCAAAGACCAGCTGATAGACAGGGTCGCTGATCACCACCAAGATGTTACCCTTATAATATGCACAACGCTTGCCTCTTACCTATCGATGGTGAACCAGTAGATGAATGCAGCAGGTATTTCCATCAGACAATTCAGGAAGAAATTGAGGTAGATGTCACCAGCTAGTGATGAGGATGTCAGAAGTATACCGTAGTATATCAGACTGTTGGAGAACCTGAAGGTATTGAATTGATAGTGTTCAAGGTATACGGTTGCCTAAATAATTGATTTACCAGCTGATACGGATACAGCGTACTTTCAGCCACGAAGGTCCCGGGTTCTGCGCAGTATTTTATCCAGTAAAAATGAGAAAATTGTATTTTCAATATTTTTTCATTTATCTAGAATGATCTATGATATCTTATAGCCTTATAGGTGGTTGTGAGGTGTTCAATGAGAAAAATTATCTTTAACTCTCAAAACGATATGGAAGACCAAACAGTCAAATATTAAGACCTTAATCCTTAATCCATTCTTCTTCATTTTTTGGTCTTTTTTGACATTTGTTCATCAAATCACAATTCGTTCTTTTTATATAAGACATTTGGTCTTCCATATATAGTCAGTTGTACCCACCAAATAAACCACATCATAAGCATGCAACCAGCCAGTCGAGGTGTCTTGAATATGTCCAGGAACGTATACTTCATCTTCTCTGGAAGTACACTCTTTCTTCTCTGAGCCATAAAACTCTTCCTGCGTTCAAAATCCGCAATGACGCTCTTCCGTCTTTCAAATTGCTGGGGCTTCTCCTCTGTGGCCACGTGTTTAAGGGGGATTGCCTCAGTCTTGTAGATATACTGAAAGGAACTTGAAATTGTTAGTTTTCAGGTGTACTGAATCCGTCAACGGGTAGGGTAGGGGCGTCTGTTCCTTTTGCTCAGTAGCAGTGGAAGCATGGTTACAGAACTCGTAACATTCTTACCTTATGATGCTTCACAGGTGGAATTGGGTGCCCCTGATGAGAATGTAATAACAAATTCATATTTCCAGGCTTTCGAAAGCATTTGCCATGGAATCAGAAGTTCATTAGTCAAGCACATGCCTACACTTTACCGACTGAGCTTATCAATTAGCCGGAAATAAATTTCTCAGGGAGACATTCAGATAGGACAAATCCCTCGTCCATTGATCGTCTGGTAGAGGCATCTCCTTACCGCCATCACGTACCTGTAATGGTTTCTTGGGATCCACTTTGTTCATCTTAGCAGCCTTCTTGATCATCAATATGGCCTCTTCACCGTGATTGTTGGCTACTAACCACCTTAAAGACTCGTCTGTTGCCCTGGAAAGTTAGAAGAACTTTAAGACCATCAAATCAGATCTCCATATGACCATGTGCTATCAGGGGATTGGTCTTCGGAAGAAGGAAACAGACCTACTATCAACATCCATTCCAAGATCAATATGTATTTCTTCAAAGGTGATCCCATTTTGACAAATCTGGATACCAAATAAACAGTATACATATATCATGTGAACTCTCTGAAAGGGATGCTTGGTTGATAATTCTACAAACCAAATTAAAGGTATAAGCTATGAGGACTCTCTGAAAAGCAACCCAGTCAAACTGAGACACCAGAAAGGTATCTCCTTACTAGGTCATCCGTTACACTTTACACAACCACCAATGGCTTACCAGAATTGTACGAGAGCATACAGAGAAGAACAAGCTAAGACCAAGTTGATGATTCTCCAGCTGTACGATTTGACCAAGAAGGCGACCAGAGCAACGCTGCTGGTATATACTCCCCATAAAACCATACCAAATGTTCCGACCAGCTTCCTCTTATTTGCTGGGAATAACTCTAAGGCTATTGTTACTGAGGCTAAACTTGATCCCTGTAAATTGAAGGACCTTTTTGATCGTATATACATCAGTGAGCTGTCTGGTATATATAATTCACTTCCTCATATTGAAAGTTCATTAGATGCAACCAATGTATTAACATTATGTTGTTTCGGGTTTCAGAGTTTATTATGAGGTTCGGTCGTTAGTACTTGAGGAATATTTTTTATTTATATTGCTGATCGAGTGAAGAAATCAGGATGTTCATTTATTCATGTTTCACTGACTGTCCTCGAGTTATATTTCCCCATAATGACCAGTTATATGACGTCAAGATTTTTCAAGCATTCTAATTTATTGGACTACAATAGTAAATAAAATCCTTACCTGTAATGTAATTCCAATGAGAAATCTAAGAACAATGAAGACGAATATGTTGGGTGCAAACGACGTTGAGATCGCAAATACCAAGTTTAAAAGGTTACTTATCAAAGCTATCGTCTTACGTCCAAATTTATCAGAGACTATTGTCAGTGTCGAGGATCCTATACCCATACCCACGTTCAACATAGTCTGTGAAAAATCCGACCACTGGGCAGATTCGCATACCAACTCAAACTACAAAATAGACAAAAAACAAAAATTAAAGCTAGCCCACCAAAGTATATATCCGTACAGTATAGATTTATGTGTAAATACTACATTATCCCTAACCTAAGTCCGTACAAACAAGACAATTCTGTTAATCAAAATCTAGTCCAAAAAATGGCGAAATCAAGGGTAAAAGTAGTATAGTAGTGGGCTCCTCAAAAGAGAAGTACCATCAGGTGTTTTGAAAAGAGTAAGTATGATCTGCGGGACACCTGCTACTACTATATAGATCAACATATATTCACAGGCACCTTTCACCTTTCACCTTTCACCTTTCACATTTTCGAAAAGAGTAAGCATTCTACTATACAGGTCTAATTTCGCTGGACATTTTCTTCAAATTAAGCCGAAAACACTAACATGTCAAGATCGAATGGTTGGTTGTATTTGGTGTAAATATCAGCTTTTTATCAGAATGAGAATATAGCTTTTTGTAAGGCCATTGATCATAGGTCACAAACCATATATAGGAGTGAGATTCTGCCTAGATCACGATGATCAAATTTGCGATTCTATACTTCTTAGAGTGAATATATATCAATTTCGATACCAACAAAAGGTTTAATTGTTTGCTTGATAACGCAATGTATCTGCTTTAGATCTGAAACTTGGGTTTTGGCAAATGTAATTAGACATATTTTTACTTACATCAGAAATGATAGAAAAATCTTTAGGGTGTTCAAAGTCATATCCATATATACAAGACGTACTGTTCACAGCACTACCATTATACATATAGTCTATTGAACACTGTTCATACTTCACGTGTGTATCGTTGGTCAAATTACCAGGATTTGGGGACGCACAGGTATGTTCATTGGCTTGTCCTGAAAACAAAAATTGGCAACTGAAATCAATGAAATTTTATGGTATGGCATATGATGGAAAGCTTTTATTCATAGGATTTCTTGTGCGTGATCGCGTGAATGTAACTTAACAATGACATTACATGACCTAATATAATATTGTCATGACGTAATGCCGTGGCGTGACGTTTTATAACCTGACAAGGATGTTGATTGACGTTATATGACGTAATATAATATTGTCATGACGTAATGCCGTGGCGTGACGTTTGGTAACCTGACGAGGATGTTGCTTGACGTTATATGACGTAATATAATATTGTCATGACGTAATGGCGTGGCGTGACGTTTGGTAACCTGACAAGGATGTTGCTTGAAGTTATATGACATAATATAATATTGCCATGGCGTAATGCCGTGGCGTGACGTTGCGTAACCTGAAAGGGATGTTGCTTGGCGTTTCATGGTGTGACTTGATACATACCAAGGAAGACAATGGAGAGACCATGGTAAGCTTCTGATAATCCAAGTAGAACTGCCATGATGTATTTAAAGATTTGGTATCTGCCCGTACTACCCAGGGACTCGAGAACATCATCTACCTCCACTCGGCTTATATCTTTCATGATGGTAGACTCATCTAGCTACAAGCACACTCCTTAAATTGATAAAACGTCGTTTAAATATGGGGTACTTGCATATGCATGTATCGCTTTGAAAATTGAATATACGGCTTTTCACTCTTTCGAGAGATCCTTAATATGTACAACCTGTATGACATGGGGCCTTGTCTTCTTGCCTCATTCGAGCGAATATCGTTTAAATATTCGATACTTCCAGCTGTTCGTATCCATTTTAAGAATGAACATAGTCTGATACGAGTTTAGGTGACTAGGCAATCAAATTTACATAACTTTAATATTATAAATAGATTTGTCAATAATCCAAGACTATGAAATTTGAAGTACAAAGAAGTAAACGTCTGAAATGGCTCCTATAATACAATCTATTATATCGCTAAACGTTATATATAGAAGAAACTAGCCTGACTTAAAACGTAGGAGTATTTGGTTTCATGAATTTACTTCCGAGGCGTTGGAATGCCTTTAAAATTCTTAGAACTATGTAATGGAGATCGACAGAAGATAACTATCCAATCTCTATTACTATTAACCGGGTTAATAATAAAAAAGGCGATTTCTTATTTCAACTACTTTTAAACATGAGAAATATAATTTATTGATAAAAAAATAAAATTCAAGTGTTATTCAATAATGAGAGACAGATGTTCTATGGCTATTATTGACTGGTGTATTTCGGGTGTATTCGTCGTATACATGGACTATGACAGGGGCATCTAGAAAATACTAAAAGGGGGATGAGGGAGGGGGGTGCAAAATGAGAGATGTTTGTGCAGAGCGAGACCCGAAAGACCGAAGCCCCTTGAGGCCGGGGGTCTTGGGCTGCATTATAAATAGAATATGATGGTTTCGTCGGACGAGTTGAAAAGACGATACTGGACGTTTGGACAACGAAGTGGCTTGTGATTAGGAACGATATTTTTGTAAATTTGTAAGAACGCATCGACTTTTTGAAAGATATCGACCGCATTTATGTATAAAGCAACAACGGGATGAACCAAACTACCCCTCTCCCCCTAAATGGGATTGCCCCAGTAACGTTCGGGGCTATCCGCCGTCATATTTAAATATTACGATTACGAGTAACTGTTTAGTAATGATAAGTTATAGGCCTATTGGTATTATTGAATATAATTTTAAAATCTATATAGAAGTGGGTCGACTTTGACGTAGTGTTCGATATCAGTGTTCGAAAATCTATATCAAGATCAGGGCCATTGCTCAATATGGGCCATATACATTGTTATTGAGAAATGATTTGGAGTTTTGCGTCCTACCTTTCAAATAGCTAATGCTAAACAGTATGCAATGGGGGAAATTTTGTTAGGTATAACACTGAGCACTTAATCACACAATTTGATGATAATGTTAGATGGTAATGAGAACATACTCTCATGAAAGCACTGGCCTAGGTCACAAAGTAAAGATTTATGATAAAACAAGGTGCAAGTTAAAGGTTAAGATAATTAGATATGTTAACTAAGGATGTCTCTGTAATACTATCTGTGGTAGTATCATTTCTTTAGCTGAAATAGCTAAAAATATAAGAATCAACGTTCTTCTGATATATCAATAATCATCTATAGATACATCTTATATTGTGGAAAAAATGAGTTTATGACCCCCTGCAAAGAGCAATTTATAAGAGTTGTTGGACCATAAAATGTTCAACAAACGACAATAGGAACACATTCCTCAATAATATCCTTGCCTTCAAATTTAATAAAACGATTTGAACATATCATATGTATGTAAAATGTTGTGTTCTCGTCTTCTTAAGTATATCCGAAACGAGTAATTGTAATTGCGAGGGCGACTTCGGATGTAAAAAGGTCATTTTGTTGTATTAATGAGTAGGTGGGGGGCGAACGGCCACAGAGTTGTCAGATATATTACTTGCCCCTCCAGATATATTACTTGCCCCTCCAGATATATTACTTGCCTCTCCAGATATATTACCTGCCCCTCCAGACATATTGCCTGCCCCTCCAGATATATATACTTGCCCCTCCTGATTTATTACCTTCCCCTCCAGATGTATTACTCGACCCTCCAGATATATTACTTGCTCCTCCAGATATATTACTTGCCTCTGCAGATATATATATACTTGCCCCTCCAGATATATTACCTGCCGCTCCAGATATATTACTTCTCCCATCAGACATATTACTTATCCCTTCAGATATATTACCTGCCCCTCCAGATATATTATTACTTGCCCCTCCTGATATATTACCTGCCGCTCCAGATATATTACCTGTCACTCCAGATATATTATCCCCCCCCCCCCCCCTTCCCCTTGATATATTCAAGGAACAACAATCTAGATGATAGGCCTCTCAAATTTCTCTCAAATTCAGAAACATAATTAAAGAAACATGCATAATAGTATTCGTTACATGATATGAAAACAGACGTTCATACACGCTTAAATAAAATAGCATGGGGGTTTACTTCCTTCTATCCAGTTCCTATCAGGCAGTAATGCCATGCAGTGTGCAATTAGGTAAATTCTTCCATGACAGCGGTGCTGATCTATATGTTGCTTTAAGAAAATCGTACGTCTTACTTAATACACACTACAAAGGCTATTGAAGATAGCAATACCATGAAGTGTGCAGTGAGGAAAATCTGTCAGTGATGCCCCTTCATTACATGCATAAACGGGATAAGAGACATGCAGTGTGCAACGAGGAAATTTCAGAAAAAAGTGATAAGAAAACTATACGCCTTACCTGATATACCCTAGTCAAAAACTAGAACGAGGACAAGTTCAGCGACTAAACTACTGTAGCCTATTTTAAACTATCGGTTCACTCAACTCATATCTGCATATTTTCACACGGTGGTAGGATAATACCGGATATATGAAACTTTTAACTTCTTTTTGTATTTCATGTAATAATGTAGATTGTTGAAAACGTACACGAAATAAGAAACTTCTGTAGTCAATATATGTATATAGCTGTGTGGACTTTCTGAAAGGTATGACGATTGGCGGGCTGGCTAACTCAGTCGCAAGGGGGGAACATGCCGGGTATTCTCAATACGACCTATCCAAGTAAGAAGTTGATAAGAGGTTGAAAATCCCTGCTCTAGGACATCCAAGCGATTAGATCGTTTAGAGAAAACGCGGCCATGTTTTTTTTTTTTAGAAAAAGGAGCGTGCCCTGCCCATGAAGTGATGAAAGTACAAAGAAGAAAGAAACTCTTGAAGTCCATGGACTTTGAAAAGGCTCTGAAAGTTAAAAAAAAATAATACTAGCTATGCGGACTCTCTGATTAGATGCTGAGTTGATAAACCAAGTCGCAGTTAAGGCCTGAGATCAGGTGTATCGGAATGAATAAGTATGTATGATATTCAATGTATTCTTTAGGCTTGGTGTCTGCAACACTATGAAGCAGCTGGACAACAAAGTGGCCTAACAAAGCTCAGCTAATCTTTGGCTGGAAAACGCAATCAGAGGACAATAGGTTTCGGACTACAAGTATTGTTCAACTGAAAAGGTAAATAAACAAAGATAGGCTACTGGTTAAATCAACAATAATTATTATAGATCGCTTTGTGACCTGAACATTCAACTTTATTCGGGGCGGTAACTAGTTAGCACCAACACCAATAGGCATTTGAAGATAAACCATAACCTTTGGCTGACCCTTAAACTGAGTCCTTAAATATGAATGTGGAAATGGCCGATCTGACTAGTAAGACCGAATTGTCCTGGTAAAATTTGAATTGGTCGATCTGACTTACAAATATCTTATCACTTATGAAGTTTGATTTTATTAAATTTATTAATTAACTTCAAAGAAACTATTAGGGATTTCAAATCATGATTCAAATAGAGTCAATATTGATTCGAAATTTAATACGAAACTAACGAAACCACTTGACAAATGAGCTAGCTCTACATTGTAAAAAGAAAACTTCCGGTGCATCTTCGGTGTCAAGTTTTAATTTTGTCCACTTGTTAAAAATCTGTCCCGTTTGTGTTTATCGTGAAATCAATGGATGGCTTATTCACACCCTGTTAGCAGAAATGTTGCTCCTGTTGTGAGCAGAATGGCAGATCCTATTGATGGCGAGACGGTTCTGCCAGAGAGCGGCAAAGTTGAGAAGGGTAAGGATTCCATTTTAATTCTGACTGAAACTTGAAATTAATATAGTAACTGAATGAATCATTTCATGGGTTTGAACAGAATTGTCAACACTGATGAAGCTTTATCTGTTTTGTTTGTGACTTATCTGTAAGTTCTAGCTTGTGACTTATTTTGTATGGCATTTTTTCCTTGGTCATAATAGGTTTAGTTTCAGTCATGTGATAACACTTATTAACAGTTGGCCGGAGGTTTTGAATCACATTTTGACTTTTTTATGATTCAAATTTTACTTTAGCACTACACTACATTATATGCCATCTTAAAACCCCTAGTTTTCTTCAAGCCTCCTAAGAGTAAATTCTGGACAGCAATTTGATTCCATTTCTTTTAGATCTGACCCAAACCCCTTTCCTTACATCCTCTCTAAATTCAAGCATCCATTGGGTGGGGGAATTAGAGACCAGTTATATGGTCTGAACACCAGTGATAGATGATTGTGGTCAGATTGGGATTGGGCATTAGGGATGGTACTTCTAGGCTTACATGTGACGGAAAATTAAGGATGGGGTAGTGCCATGTGATGATATAAGGTACCCCATGGATAATTGAAAATTGACAGAAGAGGGTGGCTGAAATAGTTGATAGTACTACAAACCATGATGGCCCAAGGGGTGGAGTAGAGTAGTTAGAGATATAATATGTAAAGTATGTTGATTATGAATTATAACCAATCAAGCTGGTGATTAACCTTAAGATTACAATCTAACCTTATAACAGGTTCTTCAACTATCTAGTAAGTCTTAAAACTTGTTTAATTTTACCTATTTTTATAAATTTTCATCTAGAATTATTACATAATTTATTTATTGCAATGATAACTTTTTGGATTATTTTTTACTGTATAAGCTTTGGCCATTTTTAATTTCCTTTGATTTACTCTGAACTTGTTTAAATTTACATATTTTACATAATTTTCTTATTATGAAATTCTTACATAACCTTACATTATATATATTATTGCAATCAATTTGATATGACAAACTTTTTGGATCGTCCATGAGCTAAGGCCATTCTAAATTTCCTATGTTTCTTGACCCATTTTTTCATAAATTTTCTAATTTTAACATTATTACATAATATACTTAAGCTTATAGATGTGAATATCAAAAAATACAACTCAGCATGGATGGATGATGTTTTTTCATGTATACATGGCCCATGAATTCAAAATTTATTTTGTCTAGACTATTTGGCAGTTGTAAATGTCCAATGTTATAAGAAAAACTTTAAATATTTTTTTTTTTTTAACTAAAAAGATTTTAGGTCATGACTAATCTGACAATAATTTGAAAGAAAAAAAGTTTCCTTATTTGCACAAAACACAAAATATAGGATTTATATGAAAAAAAGAAGACATCCTCTCAATTATTATATTTTTTATGTTATATTTTCAACACCTATAATGTCAACAGTTGTATTGTCAGGGAGACAAAATAGATTTTAATAGTTTTATTTGATCTGAAAGTGAAGCTTCTGTTTGAATTGTAATCTTCCTCTTCCTTGTTAGTTCTGTTTCCTAAATTTAGGTTTGATCGTGTACTTGCTGGTATGCAATTTGATTCCAAAACAACTCATTTATCAATTGCAGGAATGGGTTTTAGAATTCCTTTATTAGGTCTAAAGGCTTATGAGCAAGTTCAAGTCAAGCAAACTTGCTTAAGAGAAGCATTAAATCGAAAACTAGAATATTCTATAGTAAGCTTATATCAACTAAGGTGTAATTGACTAAGGCTAATCTCATGCTGATGACACATGTTTCAGATATAAAATCCTCATCAGGACAGCTGATGTGGGAATAGGTCAACATTCCAATAGTAGGTCGAAGGCTTATGACCTTATTAAGTGAACTCAATGAAGAAGGATGGTTATTCCACAAAAAGGTGTCACTGATTTTATATTTAATTTCAAATATTATACATGATTATCATTTATTAAATTTTCATTACTTGTATAAGAAATATGAGCACAGTTGATGATCTCATTGGACAGGAGCAATATTCAACTTGACTAAGTTGGTTTGTCATTATTTTGAAATGTTATTCAACAAGAATACACAAAATCAGAATTGAAAGTTGTCCTGTCATTATTTTGAAATGTTACATGTGTGGTAAAATATGTTGACTAGGTCAACTGACCAGTGTGTATTCAATCAACAGTTTTAGTACTAGAGTAAAGTGGTCAATATTATCTCTTGCCAAATCATACTGACCATAGTGGACATACACTTTATAAACCCTTTTTTATTTTCTATTGGTATGATATGCCCATTGCCTCTACTGTAACAATTCAGAAAGTCTGGGATTTTATCTTTAAAAACTTAACCAAGATAAAATCTAGATTGTAAGAAATACTCAATTTCTGCATCATACAGGACTTTCCATGCAGTGTGCAGTGAGGTAAATTTTTGCTATGATAGACGACTATCCAACTTACTCTGACAGTGTAAGGTTAATGAAGCCATAGGGGCATTTCTACCCATCCACAAGTCAATTTACATTTGACATAGAAGTGTACAGGGGTCTGTGGAAAATGTTACTTTTAGTTTCTATTCACTTCTTGGATTGTGAGACCCCAGCTGGACTATTAAGAAATATTTTGAATATTGTGGCTGTTGTGAATGAGGTAGGCAGCACAGTATCCAATATAAGGTTTACCTGCTAAAGAAATACACGGTAGAAATATATAGTAGTTTGTTAAAGAGACAATGATAAGAACATAAAATATCACTCCCTCTTTTATCTAATTGACGACAATGTTTCTATAAATTACAGTGTGTAAAGAATGGTTGGTACATGAAGATGGAGCCATGGCGTATAAACTGCAGAATGAGGAAAGTAAGTAGATCTATCATTTATTATTCTAGTTTATAATATTACACAGGTTGTCTACCATTGTTAAAACTAACAATGTATTACTAAGCTAATCATTAGCTATCACTTGTAAATAAATAGTCCTAGATTCGAACCTAGGCCTGTGCTTTCTATAAGTTGAATTATCATTTCACAAGCTGGTCAAACAATGATCTTTTGAGGATTATCTGTACCCATTCACGGGTGGGTCTTTAAGGGATTGTAAAGAGGTTTTCTAAATTTTGTATGTGTATCTATGGGGAAACTGATAGCATTAATTTCACCATTCCTATTTTCAATCAGATGTCAATTTTCTTTACAATCTCTTTAAGTAAAGACAGGATGAAGATCTCTTATGTATGAAAAAAATTGGAGTTAAAATACATTTAAGACAATATTGAAATTTAAATGGAAAAAGTGATTATTAATTTCAAACTGTGACCAAATTTAAAACGTAACAGAACTTCTGTAGGTTTGTCAATGCGCTCTCAACCCACTACAGGTTTCAAGTTGATAGGTTTAATCTTCAGATAGACAAAACATAACATCTTCAAGACCAACTTAAACTATATAAAACATCATAGTTAACAGAATGATGCGTTCTCAATACTTGAATCACCATAAAGAATGCAGTTTAAATGTTACTCTTAGAGTTCTGTTTCAACATAAAACAAAGCACTTTAACATGGATTAGATACAGTTGAGGTTACGATTAACTGAAAGTAAATGAACCAGTAAATAGTAAATATACAGACAAATAAACATAAATTGTTAAGGAATAAACTGATCCTTTAATTAAGACAGTATGCAAATGTAAACACTGGCCCTGAGCATACAGTGCCTAGATAGGCCTATTATTGAACATTTAACAACAATCCTTGCAGTGTGAAAAAATATAGATTATATAGACCTGCGACTTAGCCAAGCGTGACAAATAATTGGACAGAATAATTCCTCATACAAAATAGCATAAAATTGACGATTTACGAAATGACACTAATTGAAAGTTCTGTAACATGACCAGAAATAGTTAAACTAATATTATATGCAAGGTTTAGGTGTACATACCAAATTGTGTCCTACCAAATCAAAAAATAAAACAGATAAACAAAGCACAGAAATAAAGTTCTAAAAAGCACACTATGAAATTAGCATGATACGTCACTATTATTTTGGCACAAGAAAGGGAAATTTTGTTTGGCTTACTCCAGTCTTTGATGTTACCGCGGACAATGGGTTTATTTCTTTTGGGCTTTCCCTAGGAACCCTACAACTTCTATAAGGTTACTATAGTTTTGATTGTTATGATATATACATAGACAATTTTACATCCACTTCCAGTTCATTGATATCAAAGACTATATAATATATAAAAGACTGTAGGACAATTAATGTACTAACTGTAATAATACAGGCACCACAGTGTCTAAAAACTTGAGTTAATTGGCTCTAACGAGTTTTATGATTAATTAGAGAAGATCATTATTAATTAACCCTAATCATCGTTAGGCTATGTTTAATTAGTGGAACAATATTGCTCTTTAAATGTAATTTGTTTTATGTATGTAAATGGTGAAAAAGGAGTGCATTCTAATTTCAAATGATTTTACATCCCAATTTCTGTTTCATTATTGAAATAGAATATTTATAATTGATTATGATATCTCTAATTGGGACATCAATGAGTCTAGGCCTGTTGGAGTTTTACATCCTACTATTCTGCACAAGATTGAGCAAAAAGTAAAGACATTTCCATTAGTTTATCTTATTGCACATTGCATTGGGTATAAAGGAACAGTAGTAAAAAATAGATCCTTCATTGCACACTGCATGGCGTATTAAGGATGGTTAGTGACAATATATCTGTTTTTTAGATGATCGTCACTATGGTTTGAACCGTTTCCAGCGCCGGACTGTACGTGGTGATATTCCGGTTGCCAAACTGGTCCAAACTGAAGAAGAGAAGAGGCTCCAAGAAGAACAACTCAGAAAACTGGAACGACTCAAAGAACAGTGAGTATTCTGTTTTATTTATAGTCATGATTCAGTTAGGTTTCAGTAATAAAAATCTGTACAAATAAGACAATTCTGTTAATCAAAATCTCCTCCAAAGAATGACAAAATTGGTAGTAAAAGCTGTATAGTAATGGACTCCTCCAAAGAGAAGTACCATCAGGTGTTTTGAAAAGAGTAAGTATGGTCTGCTTCACACGGGACATCTGCCATTACTATATAGGTCAACCTATCTTCACAAGTACCATTATAGTCAATTACTTTTCAAAGGTTAACGAGTGCCGAGTTTTTCATTGTTTCTCGGCTAGCGACATAATTCCAGAAACCAGCATCAGGTCACGACCCCTGAAAGTATTCTGATAATTTACCAGTGATGATGTTATGTGTTTTGTTTTCAGAGCTGAAAATGATGCCATGATAGCTAAGCAAGTACAAGAACAGGAGAAACAGAAAGCTTGGCAGAAAAATACCACAGAATTAGATGATGAGGTAGGACAGGGTTTCACTATCCCATAATTCCTTATTTAATCAAGAAACAGTTTCTACATGACATGCTTTGATTGGTTAAAAATAACATCATTATAATTGGACTGTACAAGAAAACTTGTTAGATTACAATTCAGATGAGAAATAACAAACAAAAAAAAGAAACAAAATTGTAGTCCAATTCACAATTAGATTGCGCGCCTTGCCTTTTGGATGATCAGTGGTTCGCTTGTATTTGGAAAATGTGTAAAGAGATGCTTCTAATATGATTTTATTTTCAGGCCATAGCTCGACTGATGCAAGAGAAAGAGAAGAAGAAATATGAGAGATATCTAGAGAAGAAGAAAGAGAAGGAATTAAAGAAAAAGAGAGAGAGATTAGAGAAAGAACTAGCTGAACAATCAGAACAGGCCAGAGTTGGACAGAGTCGAGATACTGATGAATTAGGTAATTAGGTTGGATTGAGCTTTTAAATTAGCACTTGGTGTTTATATGCTTGATTACTTATGGGTATAAGAGATGAAAGCAAGGGCAAACTTACAGAAACACTGGCATAGGCATCAGAATTTTTCTTTGAGGAGGATTTGCATTCGAAGTGCCTAATCGCCTAGAAGACTGTAATAAATCTGGTCACAGACTGAGATATTCCATTGCCACTTGAAAAAAGTATCAGATGGGACAATAAACCAAGACCATATGTGCTACAAACTAGGCACATTCAAGGAACATCGAGAGATGGTCGTCAAAATATTACCATTGTCTGTGGCGCTTACAATAATTAACACCTAGAAATATATCTTTGTAAAAATTTAAATCATGCCAATCATGTGACTGTGTATTTCAGGGTCTGATAGACTACATGGTAGTGTTGATAGATTGAGTGTAGAAGATACAGCTAGTTCTGGACTCAATGGTCATACAAGGTACAGTTACAGGTAGTTAGACCACTAACACAGTATACTAACATAGCTCTAGTACTCAAAACTTCTTACTTAGATCTTATACAGTTATAATCCAACCATCTCTTAAAGGGACAGGTTGGACATTGGTTCACAGCTCACCGTAGAAACTTGAGCCTTCATTATCTAAGAATTATCAGTGTTAGAAAGTCACTGATAGCACAGATTGCACCATTCTCATTTTACATCAGATGTCTGTGGTTCCTGCAATTCCAATAAAAAATGGTTTTTTGACGCCACTTTTGTAAAGGCCCATAGTTATCAATAGCAGCTTCTGCAATAGTGCCCTCATAAAATTCCGAGTTGAATCAAATATTGAAATGTACTATTAAGGACTAGTAGTGACTATTTTTGGATGATTTTCTATGAAATAGTAATAAAATTCAAAGTTAGAATTAGTAACCATTTTGAGTACTATAGCAGTCTAATTCTTTCTGTCTTTCAAGACAATGGCAGATTTTGGTACGTAATATTGTAGCTAAATGCAAGAAGAAAATGCAAATGATTCATAAATTTCCAATAAGGTGCAGAAAGGAGGGATGTAAAACAATCATGAAAATTTTGCGTCTTACAGACACAAACACTTTTAATTTTAAACAAGATGTTTTTTTTCAAATAAAATTTTTTTTATTTATCAAAGTCTGCCTATGTTTACAGTTATAAATGCTCTTTGAATTCCAGAAACTTGTGGCTTTTTTTAACTACTTCTAAACTTTGGCTTGAGCAATGGTTTTGCATCAGGACGAGAGGCTGCTGCTTGGGTTCCGTTTGCCAGTCATGTTTGAATATAGCTTGAAATGCTCTGATTTTCAAGTTATAAAAACTGGTCGTATTTGGCTGCATTTACCTGTCATGTCTGACTAGAGCTCTAGACTGTTGATTTGGCTGTATCTACCAGTCATGTCTAACTAGAGTTCTAGACTGTTGATTTGGCTGTATTTACCATTCATGTCTGACTAGAGCTCTAGACTGTTGATTTGGTTGTATTTACCAGTCATGTCTGACTAGAGCTCTAGACTGTTGATATGGCTGTATCTATCAGTCATGTCTAACTAGAGTTATAGACCATTAATATGGCTGTATTTACCAGTCATGACTGGCTGGAACTCTAAGATGTCCTTATTAAAAATACAAGTAAAAGAACAAGACATTTGATTGCATTTATTTGTTAGAATTGAAAATATAAACTAGCTTTTATTGCATGCATGAATTATGAAATTTTGGTAATGCCTTTTCAAAGAGTATTGGCTATTTTAGATGTAGAAGAGAGTAAGAGGTAGAGCTTTAGAGTTTAATATTCTCTTAGCACATACTAACACATACTAACACATACAAACACATACTAACACAAACTAACACATACAAACACATACTAACACAAACTAACACGTACTAACAAATTCACAATTTTAACTTACAAGAACTTACTAGATGTGTTTTTTCTTCAGTAATATTATTTGATATACGAATGACTATTTCTAAAACTAGCTGTCCTGATGAGGCTTGTGTATCTGAAATACATGTCTGTAGCATAATATTGGCCTCCCTTGTCCGCTGCAATGTAAGGTTGAAAAATACTGAATGCTTGGATACTTATATACTTTCAAACATAAAGATGCTTTTAATTTGGAATTTTTCGCCTGCGTTCTTGATGTGCATTTTGTATCCTAAATTCGAAGTTTAAGCATGAATTTCTCAAATTTATATCTCAGTCTTTGAATGAAGATCTTCTCGCAATTTTCAACTACGCTCGTGTTCATGTTAAAAAGTTTCCTAAGATTTGTACAGATATCTTTATTTTGCTCAATTTCAAATAATTAAACAATAACTTTAACAATGAAATTGGGGGAATATAACTTTACTATGCAGAGTTTCAACTAAGCTCCAGTACCACTATAATGGTAAGTTTTTTTTAACATTTTTTTGTTTTGCTGTTTTTTCTATTTATTTTAGAAGTTTTGCAGTGTAGTGTATAGATTTTTCAAATTTAGAATTTTTAATAGATTAATTTTCACTTATTAAAACATTTCAAATATTTTGTTAAAAGTTTACGTCCAAATGAATGGAAATAAGCCCTAGGTTCTCCGTCTCTAACTCTAACTCCACCCTAGGCCTGTACATTTGGGAGTCAAACCCACCCTTCCCCGAAATCTAACTCCACCGTCCTTGAAGATAACAGCCCAGTTTATACTGACAGATGACAGCCCAACTTTCTTGTGATCGAAGTATTTTAAAACCTTCAGTATAATATACTTAACACTTTGTATCATGTATATTTTTCAGAAATAGTGAAGATATTTTAAAAGATGGTATTTGATGTTGTCTGGTTTATTACACGAATCTGTGATACAAGAACTTTCCATCCTATCTAATATTATTTATTTCAATAAAAGAATTCTACTGAATGACTTGTTATTTTTTAGATAATCATCTTGGGCATTTTGGGATATAGACACACCCCTTCTGAGAGCACGATTTTTAAATTATTGTTATGTTAAAGCTAGCCTACAGCCTGTACGCACTAAAGATCCCTTGACATTTGGAAATCGAAAAAGAGCAGACTAATGCTGCTGTTCTGGCAAAATTTCCCTCATTGCACCCTGCATGGCGTTGCCTGTCTTCATGGTGCAGAAAAGTAGGATGTAAAACTCCATTTGTTCCATTTAAAGCTATCCTGCTCATCTTCCATAAATAATGTTTTTAATCCAGGGTGCGACCTGGTGGACAGATAGAAGATGACGGGGATTTCAGTGATTTCTATGCGCTGCCCCCTGGTGATAATACTGATCCAATGAGAAGACAAATGCAAGAGACACAAGATGAGGTAGGTTTATTTTTTTACCACAGTTTTAGCGTTAGTTGTATGTCAATTTGTATGTATAAAATCAATTTTAGTTATTGACCAATCAGATGACTGGAATACTAAAATATAGTAGTCTGATTGGATAATAAAACTGAATTTAAGATATATTTTAGTGATTGACCAATCAGGTGATAGGAACACTAAAATACAGTAATCTGATTGGATAATAAAACTTATTTCAAAATCAATTTTAGTGATTGGCCAATCAAATGACAGGAACACTAAAATACAGTAATCTGATTGGATAATAAAACCTAAGTTAAAATCAATTTTAGTTATTGACCAATCAGCTGACTGGAACACTAAAATACAGTAATCTGATTGGATAATAAAACTTAATTCAAAATCAATTTTAGTGATTGACCAATCAGATGACAGGAACACTAAAATACAGTAATCTGATTGGATAATAAAACTTAATTTAAAATCAATTTTAGTTATTGACAACAATAAAATCATTTTAAGTTACGGTCCCAGATTCAATTATTAACTTTTTACATTTTTTCCTTTCTAGGAACTGGCCAGATTACTACAAGAACAAGAACATAAGGTTTGTCTTTATTTTACGTTGATTTGGAGACTTGAAGGATCATCTCAGAGCCTAAATGGTTCAATACCTTAGACTTTTACTACCTTCAAAGTGATGAGACAGATGACTTAAATCTGTTTTTGTACTCCACTGATAGTTAAGTTTTTTTAGAAAGATTTTTTCAAATAATGTAAATAGCTAACAGCGGGAAAAACAAAAGTTTTTGTCAAAGTGAGAGCCAGAATTGTGCTCAAATTCACTTTCACTAAATGACTCTTTTTTTTAAATATATGTGGTTTTTGTCTGTTTTGAATAGAGAACGAAGGCAGAAGTTGATAAGAATAAATTAAAAGCTATCGAGATTCAAGATGAAGAATTAGCTAGAGTTATACATGAACAGGAAAAATTAAAACTTCGTAAAGCTAAACAGAAACGTCAACAAAAACTAGAACAGGTATTTCTTTTATATCAGTTGTATTATTTTGGACCTGAGACTGGTCAGATGTTATTTCATAGAATACAAATTTGGCCATGTTAATCAGACTGTGCAAGTCTAGAGATCCCCAGACAGGCAAATTTAAGCCAATGTCCTCCCGAATTTACTGTATTGCATTGTCATTGTTTTCATTAACTCAAGAATGAAGTTCTCCATTTCAACTCTAACAGTCTTCATTATCTAAATAAGGAACAGAACAGGGAATGTAGACTCTATTGTGGCATTTTCATTTGCCTGGTGGGTGCGTCAATGGGATATAAAACTCATGTAACTCTGTTTTTTTTTAAATCTATTTCAGCAATCCACAGAGGAACCAGTGAGAAGACCTACAGACCGTTCCCTGCCCAGTCCTGATTCACCCCCAGACCAGCCCCCACCCTATCAACATCGGTACCGCCGTAATAGTTATACACGATCAATAACCAATAACCCTGGTCCAGTACAGGACTCTCCGGTAGTTGATAATTATAACTCTGCTAACCAGATGTCTGATGAGGAACAGTGGTTCAATCAACCAGACGACAGTGCCGATCTTACCAGTGCTAGAGAGTTATCTCAACGAGCAAACACAGCGAAATCTCAAGATCAGAATTCTCATCGATTTATCCCCCGTGGGGAAAATGTCGTTCCGAAATCACAGCAACCTTCCTTGCCACCACGACCACAAGAATCGAGGCATAATACTGTTCGTGTGCCAGCCATCACTGATCAGTTGCCTTCGTCAGAAGTTCCGTCGGTTGAAAGATGGTTAGCAGATACTATAACTAACAGACAACCATCTAATCGTGGCCATGCCTTACCCCCCTCCCCCTCTCCACCTGGTAGTTATCATAGTGAGGAAGAATCTCCACAGAGGTAGGTGTCCAATATTTTTGTGGCATTTTATGTGGTGTTTGTTTATCTGAAAAAAGCAGGTGAATCGAGAACTGTGCAGTTTTAATTTTTCCGAACAGGAATTTTGATTGGTTGTCTCTTTTAAACAGGAATTTTGATGGTTTGTCTCTTTTAAACAGGAATTTTGATTGGTTGTCTCTTTTAAACAGGAATTTTGATTGGTTGTCTCTTTTTAAACAGGAATTTTGATTGGTTGTCTCTTTTAAACAGGAATTTTGTTCGGTTGCCATTTTTAATTGGTTTTTATTTTTCAACAAGAACTTACCATAAGTTGCCCATTCATATTAAGACTTTAAATTGGTCGCTATGTTAGAACAAACTTTTGATTGCTTGTTATATTGAATTTCCTTGGGACAAGACAGTCATCTTAACTGTTAGCTAAGTAGTTTTGGTATTTTTGTTTTAGTTTAGAATATCACGGCCGGACAAACAAGTGTAATAAGAACAACAGCAGTCAGTCTTTTAATATAGCAGCTGCTATCGACCCTACTTATAAACGTAGACAACATGAGATAGATGATACACCTAGCGATCAAACACAGCAGAAAGCTCTTGGTTTTACACGATCATTACCAATAGAAGGTAAGAGTGCCCCTACCCCCTTCCTTTCCCTCCATTTATTTCAAAAATCTTGTAGAAGATGAGAGTGTTCCTTCCCCTGAGGCCGTCCCATCACTCTCAAATTTGTTGTAATTTTATATTGGGAATGCCTGGTTCTGTAATCCCCCACCCCTTGAGGATACTGTGGCCCCTTCTAGTTCACCCTAGAATGCCTGGTACAGTGAGCCCTTTTCTTATTTCTGTTACCTCTACTCTTTTCTGTGGCCTCTACTCACCTACATTCAAAGAAACACCCTTGCTTCACTCCAATATTTTTTGTAATGATTATAGATACAGAAGTGGAATGGGACCCTGCAGGATTACGGGGGAGTTTACGCAGACCAAAAGGCCAATGGAATCCTTCAGTTACCAACTATCAGGGTAATAAAACACTTCACTTTGGGGCGTTATCCTCCACAACTTAACAAAGATCAAATCTAGATTTTAAGAAATACTGTAATCTGATTGGATAATGAAAATAAATATAAAATTGATTTTATTGACTGGCCAATCAAATGACTAGAACACTAAGACTTTTGCACCTTATTTTAACATGAGTCTATATTTTGTGACCTATGAAACTACATTCTCATCACCGTCCAAACACTGAAAAGTTGCCGCCTGACAGAAATTGATATTTAGTCAGCCATATGCAAAGTGTAGAACATTTACCTACGAAACTTCTGGATTCAAAATTTGTCAAACTTAATGTAATGAACTTTTCTCAAATATCTTTGAATGTGGATTATCCTTTCAGAATCTAGTACTTTAAGTTCCATAAGGTCAGAATTAGACTCATCACCAGATGGCGCTCCAGTAATGAACCAATGGCAACCAGTACAAGGTCAACGAAGGTCAACATTAGATAATCGACGTAAAGTTTCCAAGCCACCTCCCAACAGTGCAAGTAATAAAAGCGGAAAAGGTGGAAGTTGTAAACAACAGTAAATATTGTCTCAAGTGCTTCACTCTTTTGATTAGGAGAAATTATGCAAATTTATGCAAATTTATTCACTGCATATAGACTTGATATTATGTAAAGGATCATTCGAGTTTTCGAGCAAGTCTCCACACTAAAATACTCATTCACCAAATAGATTGTCTGCCAGTTCTAATATAGTTTAGTTTTAGTTAATTTTTTTCAGTAGCGTAGAATTGCCAAAATCCATGAAATTTTAAGGCAATATCAAGACCTGTCAAAGGTTGCTGATGCTTATAGCTTGTGCTTATGCTTATAAGTTATATCTTTCTTGTCACTAGAAACCAAGCTTTTTTCTGTCTTCATTAGCCCAATCAGGTGCAAAAAAGTAAGACACCAAACTCCATTACAGTGCTGGTAGCTATATTGGACAGTTACAAAATTGTTGACTTGGTGATTGTCCCTGAAAACAATTGTCACTTCTCACCAGAAACATGCAAACTCATATATAATTTCTGAATTTCTGAAGGTATTATCACAGATGTCCGTAAGTGTTGAGTCAGAAAAACTAAAATCTCATGATGAAGGAAATTAGCTTGAAATTTTATATCAATAATTGTTAAGTTTTCCTTTTGAAATGATGAGGTCTTGATGAAGTTGTCTCCCTTGGATTAGTCTTCAACCTCCTGATGAAATTTTGATTGTTTTCATTAGTGCAAGTAGGAAATACTGAAATCTAATTGGTTGATAAAACTGAATTAAAAATTTAATATATTGCCCAATTAGATAGCAGAATACTAAAATCATCTATAGTTTAGAAATAAAGTAATCTGATTGGTTAATAAAATTAGATTAAATATGAATTGTAGTGATTGACCAATGAGATGACTGGAACACGAAAATCATCTTTGAGGCTTAAAGAAACTGGACCAAGTCACATATAATCAAGTAGAACATGTACATAGGCAGTTAACTTATCGACCATATACACTGGGTGGTCCTGAAAAACTGACCATACAAATTATTGTTAGTAACAGAGTTTTATTGTATGCTGATGTAAGATAATGCATTGCAAATTACATCCTAATTGTAAATAGTCATATAGAGTGAATCTTATCTAACAGTGATATTTATATTTGTATCTAATCACAATATATCTTCACACTGTCAAGATATCATAATCTATGTCTTATACCTTGACTACACTAGCCACTTTATAGAAGTTTGTTAATGCAGTGATATGTTTTGATGGTATGTTATGTATTAGAGCCAATCAGAGGCATTGACAAAAAGTCTGTAAACAATAAGTCATAATGTTTAATCTGTCGAGAGCTCTGATTGGCTTTTGTGCTAATTCCAATAAAATCATGTTATTTTGTGATTATAATAGTCATGGTTATTGCAGTCAAGGTATAAAATGATGTTGGTAATAGCTTGACATTGTGAAGATGATAGCAATAACACTTATTAAACCTTATATCTAATGAATTAATTTTTTGTAGAATATTTTTGTAATTTGTACAAATTGGGGAAAAAGGGAACAATTTTTTTTATCTATTTTGTTGCAAAGTTTTGCTGTTAACTTTTGTGTGGCGAATTTCTTTAAAGCTGTAATGAAGTTAAAAAAGAGGCTTGTTTGTTATCTGTTTTCTTGAGGGAAAATATTGTTGATTTAGAAATTACGTTTTTTCAGCTGCTTATCTTCGAAATTTGTTTTGAGTTTTTCTTCAAGCTATTAGTTTTTTCTAACAATAAAAGTATGAAATAATAAAACAGAGTTAATCTATGTATGGTTTTGTATTGTTTTTATAGCTGAAATTGTTTTGAGTTTTTCTTCAAGCTATTAGCAGTTTTTGTTATTCACTTTTAGATAATTGAAAGAAAATATTAAGTTAAAATCTAAGTAGATTTTCTCTTCTTCATTGCCTGAAAATAAGATTTACTTTGTATATCGCTCTGTCAAGAAAAGTTCCTCGAAAGATTTTTTTTAGTTATAGATTGCTCATATTGAATTAGTTATAAATACAGAGTAGCTCAAGTTTTATAGCTTTATATATATATATATATATATATATATGTTAAATACCTATTAGTGCCTTTAAATACAGTTTAAAAAATTATTTGTCATGTTTGAAGATTACTGAACAAGATTGGAAATAGTGAGTTGACAGCCCCACATCACCACTGTTTTAAGCTCTTTCAACCTTTGCTTTATGCGTATTCATAGTATACTTTGATATATACCATGAAGAAACGAATTCTATTTTGGGTATTTTCTTTCAATTTTTCAACCATTGGGTATATTTTTTGACCTAATTTAGAGTTAAGCAGATGGATTTATAAACCCATACCAAAAGAACAAAAAAATTTAAATGCAACTGTTAGTTTTTTTTGGACTAAATCAATCATACTCACTGATTAAGTTTTGGGGTTTTTTTTCGCTTAAGCTATCTCCAGCCTTGTTATATTTGTAATACATTGTTGTGACTTCAAATTCCACAGATAGCTGTATATTATGAATACATTTTTCAAGGAAATTTTTGAGGATAATTTTTTAAATTGTAGTTCACAAAATAACATTCCAATAGGATCTAACTTTATATAACTTTTGCAATATTTTCACATTTTTGTCATTTTATACTTATTCTATATCGTTTATAAGTTATTTATTAAGAACTGTTCTTTGTATGATTATGTATTATAGATACCTGGCAAGAGACAGAGTAAGCTTATCTCATTGAAACACCAGTTTTCACCTTCTTATGAGATGTATTCAAAGCATGATGCACTGTTGTACTTATAGAAACACCAGACATCACCTATCTCTGAGTTACATTCTAGAGAGTGGTCCACTGTTGTATTATCTGTTTATAGAAACACCGGACATCACCTAACTGTGGATATATTCTAGAGGGTGATCCACTGTTGTACTATGATCTGTTTATTTAAAAGCCATCTCTGAGATATATTCTAGAGAGTGGTCCACTGTTGTACTATTGTCTGTGTAATGAAACACCAGACATCACCTAACTCTGTGTTATATTTTAGAGGGTGGTTCACTGTTGTACTTTGAACATAAAAAATAAGCCATTTTGATCACAGACCCAATGTAATCTCAAGCTTATTGTTATAGTTTATACTGTCTATATCATGACAATAAACGCATATATTTCCATACATCCTACACCACATAATACCGGTAATGTGTTGCATGATAATCACCCATTAGCTAGTCGCTCAGTATGTATCCATCACACAAAGCAAACATAGGAAGATAACAGATGAGATATTGTTAGATTTTGTTAATGTATTATTCCTTTACTAATGGAATAAAATATACAACATTTATACTAGTCTTTTACCAATTATGAAATTAAGCCAAAATCTTCTGTAACAATTTTAGGGGGAGGGGGAGGGCAAATCCCTTCTTCTCTACCCCAAATGAAAACTTGTGAGATAAACATATGACTAAGACAATGCTTTAGTGGATCTACTTATGGAATAAAATATTTATTCAGGTCTTTTGCCCATTTAGAATTTTATGTCCGAGCAAATATCCTTAACTACTTAGGGTAAGAGCCTCCAACCTCCAAAGCAACCCCCACCCTCCAAAAACTGAGTGTTATCATTGTATAACACGTAACGTTGCATATAAGTTCACCAAGCGTCATTGTTCATAAAACTCACAAAACATATAGATTTTATATTGACTTTAGTTGATATTTTCAATGATTTTGAACATATTTTGAAGTGCATGTAATAATACTCTCGAGTAGTGAGTGTACTCTTCAATAGTATTGTATTTTGAAAATTGATTTCAGCACCGGCCTTTGGCAATTTTCTCATTCTATGGCGACAGTAGCGTACTATGGTGCACTCTTGTTGTGTTGTTGTTAAAGCTGAATAGAAAGATGTTTAATCGATTTATAAAGCATGTTTCTTTTGTGATGATGTGTTTTTTAGAACAAGGTGCACGCAATGCCAATTAAAACGAGAACACTACGATTCAACTATATTCATTCTGTGTAACTCGTTTTTTGGGTGTCAATTTACTCGCTTCTGTTGAACGAATAGCACAACTACTCTGATGCGCTCTATTGAAAGAACGTTCATTCTCGTTTTTGGGTGTCAATTTACTCGCTTCTGTTGAACGAATAGCACAACTACTCTGATGCGCTCTATTGAATGCACGTTCATTCTCGTTTTTGAGTGTCAATTGACTCGCGACTGTTGAACGAATAGCACAACTTCTCTGATGCGCTCTGCTGAGTTCACGTATCGGAAATTTAACCCTCATTATTTAACAGCAACAATGCTGATCAGACAATGATTCATCATGTTCAACCTGTGTCAATCTTTCTTACTAGTATTTCCAATAAACCATGCTGTCTAATGAATAGCTTGTCTACTTTCATGCGCGGGATAATGCTTCTGTCTGGCAAAATTTTCCTCATTGCATCCATCTTTGCCATTAGTCCGCATGGTGCAGAAAAGTACGACGTAAAACTCCATTAATTTTATTTCTTTTTCTCATGCGTCCTGAGTTGGAAAGGTAACACATTGAAAGTTTAATACCATTTTCTAACAAGCGTTAAACATTTTATACGAGACTTAACCTCAAACATGCCTTGTGAAGACTTTTAAAAAAGTATCAAGAACGCACGAAGAACTCAATTAGATATAATGGACATGTTGTTTCTGATTTTCTTCAGTAAATTAGACACTTGGTGCTTCTCAAGAATTTATAAACGTGAAATTAGCAACAATTTGATCAGGGAATGGACAAAGAAGCTGAAACGTAAACATGATGAAGCTAGGTATCATTGAATTTCTCGAGAAAAAGTGAGAAGGAAACGCCATTGGCTATTAACGAATGGATTATCAGGGACAATTTAAACATATCACGTTTCTCCCATCAGCTTTGTCAATATACGTGTGGAAGTTGTTATTCTTCTATAATTTACTCGCTTTTATCAAATTATTCTAGGATAGATTGCCGGAATAACAATTTCAGGAAGAATGGCTGGCATCTTAGGGTAACGACCTTGACCTCTTGACCATCTAGAGCTGGGAACGTCGTGTACCATCTGATAAAATGAGCCAACGACATCCGCCATGGCTATTTACGTAATTGACCAGGGGTAAGATTCCGACTTTGGTCTCGACATCCACCTCTGAACTAAATTATGGAATGGAAACTGAGAGATAACAATTTAAATCC